CGGTTAAGCTAACTGTGGTTGGTGAAATTGGTCCTTAATAAGACGGACTTAAATATAAAGATTCGACTATGAATACCGGCCTAAAATCTGTCTGATTTACGTTAGTTCAACTTGCGGGCACCAGGCGCGCTGGGGAGAATTTTTGCGTTTTTTGCGTAGAGTCCCACGTCCCACCACATTATATTTTCAGAGATTTCGGTGCCAGCTGATATAGCAGATTTCCTAACCACACAACTGTCATTTTTAACATTGATAACTTTTGTTCCACTTGAGAGCGACGCGTTTAACTTTCATATTCGGATTTAACACGCCAAAATACACAATATTGGTAAATTTTAGCCAAATCGGTGAGAAAGCCACTTTCCTTCATATTTACCTAATGTTCATATTTCTTTTTATGTATATACAACATTTTAGTAACTAAACTACCTGTGTGTGGGGTACTTTATATAAGAGAGATAATTTTAATTTATATATATAATATATAACTTTATTATACTACAGCAAGGGAAATATTATCACTAGTGTGAAAGAAATGCTGCCAATAATGCCAAAGGATTCAGAGATTAAGGATGGAGAAAAGAACCTAATTAAGATTGTAGAACGGCCGACATTCATATTAAAGACTAGAGAAGGAGAAAATAGAGCTGTTTCTCCGAGTCAACGTAATGGCCACAAGTATAGTATTATTAAATACGTGTAATAAATATTCAAATAAAATAAATAAGACTTTGGACTCTCAAAAATGCTACCAGCAAATTATAGTGGTGAAAGGACTATATGAAAGTAAACGTGTTAAAAGCCATTTGAAAGTCAAAAAGCTAAATTAAAAATTTCTGACATTCTCCATTGTACCAAAAAAGAGTGTGCTTCGAGATTGGGAAGTAAAAAAGTCAACGTGAAATGTTGGCATGTACGTTGGTTTAAAAGATCATTATCAGATAATCTGAAGAGAACAAGAGTGTGGATCCAGACTATCTGATAACAATCTTTTAGTCTAATTTACACCAATATTTCACGTTGGCTTTTTTACTTCCCAGTCTCGAAGCACACTTTTTCGGGTACAATGGAGAACGGGAGTATAATTTTTATACCGTTGAGGATGGCTCAATGTGTTTGGAGCCGAAACGTTCAAAGCATTATATTATTGAAATTAGAAATAAATTTGATCTGAATCTGTTAATCTGAAAAATTATACACCACGAACCACGTTGTACTCTTCCATAGTCCTTCCCATCACCGCACGATTTGTAATAACTATTGATTTATATATTATTTTATCTTTTATTAATATATACTTCTGTTGTATACAATTTAATAACAAAGATTTTTTTTTAGAAAAGATACCGATATGTCTTCAGCAGCATTAGTAAAAGTACAAGATTGTAAGTAAATTTACTTTAATATACAGCATACGTTATATAGGGTGTCAAAAATTATTGATTTTTTAAAATAAAATTCTCTGCGTACGTTGAAGTCGTTTTTTCCTTGACAAAAATATTGAGATTGATTCTACGTTTCTCTAATTTTTTACATCGTATATTTTTATAACTAAACCTAAAATTAATATTTACGTGTGAAGTTCTGAGAAGTTTCATTTGCAAAAAGTTGCTCTTTTTTTATTGCTTATAATGTAGAACGTATTGACTTTGCTTGCTAAAAAAAAGTTACGTTAATAAATTGAACAAAGAACTTGTACGTATAAAAGAGAACGTCTAATACGTTTGGGATTCTATATATGATATATAGGTTATATATTAAAATATTCCAGGATACTTGGAAAATTAATATGTTATAATAGCAAGATATTAAAATATTTCAGCGATCCGTATGCTTTCCATCTGTCCCGAAATGACGACGTGTATGAAATTCATGGATGAAAATATGCAATTATGTGAAAATTCAATAGATTTTCTCTATGATCAGCAAGACTTTCTAGTCGTTGGATGTCTAGGTGCGCAAGGTGTTGGTAAATCGACGATTATGTCACTGCTAACGTCACGTTATTCGTATGTATTGTATTTGTTTGCAACATACATTAAACTTTTTTACTACGGAGGAGAGAAGGTTTTGGGGGACAAACAACGTTGGCGGCGAAGACCACGTTCTTTTTATATATATATATATATATTACCATGAAAACACGGATGTGTATGGCCTTAAAAAAAATCTGCGGAACGTTGCGGAAAGTAGCCCTAAACGCGTGAAAATAGCATATTGTACATGCATACCAAGATATTTAACCTACTTATTAGCAAAAAATAGATAATTTTATTTAAAAAATTAATGAAAATAAAAAACGAATATAAAAAACGGGCTACGTAAGAACCAAGCGCGGTAAATGATGCGCGAAAGTTTTTATTTTTGTTTTTATTTTACATATTTTCCAATCTTGCGACTGCGCGCGCCGACCAAAATTTGTCAGACTATTTTTACCGATTTTCGCTCCACGGAGCGGATTTTTACAAGTCCATATTCGTTGTTTTTATGTTAAAATACGTAAAAAGAACGTGATCTTATCCTCCGAATTTGTTTACCCCCTCAAAATGCCTCACCTTGTAAACGTGATATTACTTAAATAATTTTATTTTATCGTCAGGTCTAACATTTTTCAAGTTCAAGGTTTATCACATTATGAAACTAGTACAAATTGTACCACTGGAATAGACCTTTTTGTAACTAAAAATAGAGTGATATATTTGGATACACAGCCAATTCTTTCTGGATTTGCGATTGACGCTGCATCCTTTGATCAGAAGAAAGGTGCACCTGATTATGTGAATAGTGATTCTAATTTAGAATTACAATCGCTCCAGTTTGCAGCATTCTTATTTTCCGTATGCCATGTTATTATATTTGTACAAGATTGGTTTGTGGATCCAAATTTAGTAAGGTACGTATGTGAAAGAAAATATTTATTAATTTGGCTATAACATAATCACTTTTTATCGTGAAGTTTACAATACATAATGAAATATCTGTTTCTCTTTTTCAGATTTTTACAGACTGCAGAAATGTTAAAACCATCCTCAACAACTATCATAGATCAAGATTACGTAGAATATTATCCCCATGTTGTATTTTTGCATAACAAAGCGGACGTGCAAGATTTTATGCCTGCTATTATTGACGAAATGAAGGTACATACTCCAACACATGGCGTACACAAGTTATTGACTTCACAAATATAGCTTATTCTTTATAACTATAACAAATCTCCCGCATATTCTTAGACTCTAGACCGGAACATAATACAAAGGTACAACACAGGCACGAGGAACAGGGAATAGCAAAACAGAATGCCGTGATACACGCGGCTTCTGATAGGTTGAAAATCTTCGTTGCATTTCGTTGCTATTCCCTATTTCTATTGCCTGTACCTTTGTGTATTGTGTTCTGGCCTTCTGGCTCTCTATCTTTATTCTTTTCCGTATCTTAATTTTAAGTATTTAACGTTCTATAAATTTAATTTCCTTTTACACACACTGCTCCTTTTAGCATTTGATTTCCTATTATATTATCGTCTGTCTTTTAGTTGTTTTCTTAACGTGCGTGCGCGTATAGTATTCTTATGTGGGGCAAACTACTGAAATGACGTGACGAATCGAAGAAGGTGTGAATCAGAAAATTATAATCAACGTTCAAAAATATATTAAAAATATCTGAGGCTTGCGTGTAGTATTTAAGTGCTATTTTGAAAATTATCATGTTTTTAAGTTTTTTTTTCAGGATTTTTATAACAAGGTGTCATCTAGTTCTCGACTACAAACTCATAGCGGTATAGATATGAGTCCGTGTTCGACAGAAAGTAGTTTAAATTTATTTTTGATACCTTCGAGGGCTAAAGAAGGTAAAAGATTCGTTTTAGATCATTTATAAAAGTTGCACATTGATATTTAATATATTTACGTGCATTCTTATGTTGTAGAAGACAAAACTTTTTGTGAAAACGAAGAATCTCTTATAGACAAACTACGAACAAAGATACATGGAGTTCCTAGGAATTCAATTACACCTTCCGTATTAACAGAAAAAAATTGGTATAAATCAGATAATATTCGTTGATAATATTACAACAATAAGACTTTCATATTTGTTACTAATCAGAGACTAAATTATTTTATCTATTCCTCGTTTAATTTTCAGTTTTCATTTATATTCTAATGATTTGATTGACCAAATCGATAAAATGTTAATAAAAACTGAAGAGAAAGTAATAAATAGATGAGCTAATTTTATTTCGATAAAAGATAAATATGAAAAAGTTATCTACAATATTATATATGTTCCTAAAATAATACGGATGTTATTTTGATAGGTATCATTATGTTTCAAAAGTTGTAGAAGTAATAAAGAAAAGCCATCTATCTTCTGAATATGGAAGACTAATGCCTTAAATCTCAAAGCCTACGTAGAAGGATGTGAAAAAGAAACAAAGGTATAATTAATCTACTTAATTATATGATACATTACTTTTATAAATTATAATATTAAATTAAGGAGTGTAAGAGTGTTTAATATACAACATTGTGATATATAGAATTAAATGATTAAAGACAGCTTCTAAGAATAATAGAATTTGTGTGTGTGTGTATTTAATATTTTTCACTTCATCGCTATTCTCTCTCTCTCTCTCTCTCTCTCTCTCTTTCCCCCCCTCTCTCTTTCTCTCTCCCTCCCCTCCCTCCCACACCCTTCTTCTCTCTTTCTCTCTCTGTTTTATTCTAAATATTTTATTTCAAGTAAAAAACAATATGTCTTTGCAAACAAGTTTCATCATTTGAATTTCTTTATGAATAATCTTCTTGCTCACTGTCACCTTGCTGCATAGATGCCATTTGTGTAACAGCTTGTAATTGTTGCCACTGTTGCTGTTCCGCAACTGCTTGTTCCTCTCTTGCTTTAGCAAATAACTCCTGCTGTTGCCGTAATAATTCCTCCTCTGGAATTCCCAAATTTTCTAATCTGGTACTTTGACGTCTTCTTTTAGCCGCTACAGCTTTGCAGTCTCGTAATACAGCTTCTGCCTCTGCATTGTAATCACCAAAGCCCAATTTCTCGAGCGCTTGTAAAACATGTTCCGCATTTATAGTTTTCTTTTGTTGTTGATTGCAAATTTCATTTGCCTCGGAGGACAGCAGGTGAATGAATTCCGTGCAGCAGTTCAAGATAAGCTCTCTAGATTCGTTTGCAACTCGCACATGAGGCAAGATCTCCTTGATTATTTTGTTAATTGATGCACGAGGAAGTGTAAGCTCGTCATCGTCAGTTGGTGACATCGCAGCTGAGGCCATTTGAGAGACTCCTAGAATATTAAAAACTACTTGTATATTACGGGGAAAGTTCAGAATAATCTGACGTAGATAATTACGAATTTATAAAGATGTGTATATAGAGAATGAGTTTTATTTCGTGTGTGTGCCACGTATCACCGCCACGTATCTCAGGAAATATTGGTTTTAATGGAAAAATGTTTCGGGATAAAGGTTCAAATTTTAATTAATAGAAAAAGATGATATAATAAAAAATGGAAGTTGACATTTAAAAAATTTAATTTGGCCCAACACAGGTCCCGCGAACTTTATAAATAATAAAATCGTTTATCGGTCCCCCCCTCTGATGAACTCTCCAAAACTTTTATCTGAAACATTTTTACAATAAAAGCAATATTTTCTGAGATACTTGGCACATAAAATAAAACTACCTGTATTGTATAAAGATGTATAACGTATGACAAATATATATGTATGTATTGATTTTTATTATTGATATGAATAAATCTGACATTTTAACTTTTGTTACGTGTAACACGTATTTAATTTATGGACGTAGACGGTATAGATATATACATATTCCTAACACGTTTTATTATTTTTCTATTACTATTTTATTAAATATACGTGTAGCATTCTTGAAATAAAAAGTTTGTATTTATCATTTTATTATATAGGAAGTGGTGAGATTTTTACGCACTTGCGCGATTATCAGATAAGAGTTATCTAGATATATGTGTTTTGCTAAAGATAAATCCTATTTGAACTTTGAAACTGAAATAAAGCACAGTATTATTGGATGAAGCGGACATCTTGTGTCACTCACAATAAGTTACAACAAAACTATTAAGTAATAACAAAAAATATTATGTATCTACATTATTTAGATAATGGTCATATTATAAGATGAAATGTTTATACTGTGCAAATGGATTTATATATGTAATATAGTTGTGTTGCTTTTATATTTTGATACGATATGTGCAACAAACGTAAAAAATGTAGCAAAACTTGCTGGCGTTGTGGAAAATATTACAGTGTACGTTTTAGAAGATGAAAGTTATTTAATAAACGATAACATATTGAGATCATTGAAATTAAATGTATCTTGGACGCCACCAAATGGAGGAAAACAACCCTCTTCATACAGGTGCACTACGTAATACTTTTCAATAATAATACGTGTCTATAAAGATTATATAACAAAAAATTTTAATGTGTATTATAGCATTATGATTACAAGTGTCTTAAATGAAACCGGTATAAATAAAACAGAATGTACAGAAAGTTCTGCGCTCTATACTGTGCAAAATAAAGGTCCATTTAGTAGCATATTAATACCACAAAATAAATTATCGAATGACATGCCGGAGGTACAAATACATCCAACGTGTACGTACAAGATACATGTATATGCCAACCCAAGAGCTAAACCTACGGGAAAGTTACCAGAGGTAAACGTATGACGTAACATTATGAGACAACATTAAACTTAAAATATCAAATTTTCAAGATGTTTTTTATTACATAGGTCATTTATAAAGTTCCGGAATGTATTGGACATAAATGTAGTTGTGCGGATGCAAAATCTATCTTGCCTACCCCAAAAGTGGAAGCACGCCGAGCCAAAAAAAATTTTGTTATTAACTGGAATGTTACCTCGAACAGTTCTCATATTCGCTCTTATGTAATTAGGTGAGGTCTCTTTTATTTCATTCTATTCATTTAATTTTCCTACTATTCTACTAGACTTAGATTATATGATGCAAAGTATAATATATTCTAGTATTGGCATACCATTGTTGATATCAAAAGCAGGGCATTCTGTATATAATATCACGAAAATAAGTACGGTGACTTCTACAACAAATACCTTTAGTTGGAATATGAAAATTGACGGTCAGTATATAAAAGTAAACAATGGATACAAAATATTGATAGCAGCAATGGATTATCGAGGTTGCTTAGGAACTCAAGGTGGTTTTACTATTAATACAAGCAAAACTAAAATATTGAACGGGAGTACTATGGTATATATATATCATAAAAAATACATATTGATAATTAATTAATATGTATAATATAAAATTCATATAGTATACGTATGTTGCAGTGGTTATTACTTGCCGGTGTTGCTATTTGTGTTGTCGTAGGCTTTATTAGCATTGTGTCAATATATAATAAAAATGGATATCAACTTGTCGTGCCAACTAGACGGTAAGATAAAAAATTTGCCAAACTATTTTTTATAACTTACGTATGTGTAGTACGTATTACATATACCTATATTATAGCAAATATTAAGGTTTTATTTTTTAACAACAGGAAACAAACAGTGTCTGATCTTTCCGCTTGTAAGCTGGCTCAATGGCCAGATCTAGTTTTCCAAAGACGCAATATTGATATATACGTCGAAAGGTCTGAGGTAAATGGAGAAAAGGATTGAATACGTAGAAAACAAACTTAAAATTTTAACATTCACGAAACTTATTGTAGGAGACGTATTATAAGGCGCAGAAAGATATATTTGAAGTGCCATATAAATATATAAATCTTATACGTGAATTAGGAAAAGGACAATTTGGTAAAGTATATCTAGGTAGTTTAAATAATAATGAAAACACGTTAATAGCTGTTAAAATGTTACAATGTTCTGATGACGCATGCAACGAACCTGAAGCCTGCAGGCATCAATTATTGGAAGAAATCAAAATAATGAAAGCAGCTGGTCCTCATACACATTTAGTGGGCCTTATAGGTTGCTGCACTTTACCAAATAATCCTATATGCATACTTTTAGAGTATATGGAAGGTGGAGATTTGCTCGCGTATCTACATTATAGAAGAAAAATGAAATCGGATGATGCATCTTTGTGCAGTTTTGAAAAGGCTATATCGAGATATGCGAATATTATTGAAGGAAATAAACACAACAATGAAAATTTATACGATATAATCGAGAAGCAACAATTTATAAAATTCGCTCTTGATATCGCAAGAGGAATGGAACATTTGCAAGTTAAGGGAATTATACATAGAGATTTGGCAGCGAGAAACATCCTCCTCACTTCAGATCTAACATTAAAGGTAGATATATAGATGTGTATATTACGATTAAAAAAATCGCTTATGGAGACGTATATGGATTTATTAATGGATTTAGATTTCTGACTTTGGCTTGTCACGAAATGGAATATATGTGATAAATAATATGGCTGGCAAAATTCGTCAACTCCCAATACGTTGGATGTCACCGGAAGCTGTATGTGATCGTGCTTTCTCTTCTAAAAGTGACGTTTGGTCATTTGGCATTGTACTTTGGGAAATTGGGACTTTAGGTTCTTTTCCATATGCCGGTATACAGGATAACGAATTGTTGCGTTATTTAACTCGAGACAAGTGTCGGTTGGCATGTCCTAATACGATTTCTCAGGATATATATAAAATTATGTGTTCTTGTTGGAATACAGCTCCGCGAGATAGACCTAGTTTTGCACAACTTGTTTTAGACTTGAAGACACTAAAAAAACATTTACATTCTCCGCATGAAGCAAGTAATCCTTGTTATGCATTGCTATCACACTAGTGTACATCTTGGGATCAATGATTAAATCTACATATATATGTTGTAAAAAAAAAATTAAATAAATATGTGTATAATTTTAATAAAATTGTACACGTGTATGTTCCGTTAGATATATTACATACTCACGCTAGGAAAATATATGCTGTTAAATCTTAACTTTTATTCCATGGAATATAAAAACTGTGATATTAAGAGATGAGATATTTTATTAAAAACAGTTTAGTTTTGATAAGATACAGCATACACCGTAACAGCTGAGAGTAAGATCGGCACGAAATACTCAATAAATTCTAACAAGGTTACACAGAAAGTGACAGAGGGTTAGTTTATTCATATTGATAAAATATTTGTAAAAGAATGTTAAAAAAAGTCAAGTCTTTAGAGATACATAATGGTAAAGAATGTAAAAAAAAAATCATAAAATTTATGTCATTTTGAAAAAAGGATAACATTAACATAAATTTTTGTTCAATATTTACCATGTTAAATGTAAACAAACAGTACGCCTATACTACACATTTAAAAAAATATTACGTTATATATTAAGATACGTAAGTTTTTATTTATATATCTTTTAGCTCACTTACTTGTTATTTTACTCCGTTATAGTTATTAAGGTACTGCAACCTTCTTCTTCTTCTTAATATTTGTGTTGGCTCCTGCCTCTAATACGAAATGCGATCTGATGCGATGAACCATAAAGTATAGAGAGATAAGGAGTACAAATACAAACTCACAGTATAACCATAGAGTAAAAAGCTGAGTTTCCACTAGCGCGTCACGCGTCGCGTCATCCGAGGGTGGAAGCACATAAAATTGCAGGAGCCATGAGCAGAAAACAGAAGCCATATGCGCATGCGCTATGGTATCCGTAGAGCTCTAACAGTTACCATAGCGCATGCGCATATGGCTTCTGCATTCTCATGGCTCCTGCAATTTTATGTGTTTCCACCTTTAAGGTGAAATTTCATGGGCAGTGAAAAGCAGCAGCAGATCATACTGATTGGCTACAAAATAGAGAAGTTCTCGAGTTTCTAGAACTCCTCTATTTTATAGCCAATCAGTACGATCTGCTGCTGCTTTTCACTGCCCATGAAATTTTACCTTTAACCAATCAAAACATCCCATTTTGATCCCGTCACAAGTAATAATGGGAACTTTCCAACAAGTGACACAAGCCGACACAAACGTCGTTCTATCTTTCTTTTTTGGCAATGAGTAACAAAGACAAAACGATACCTGTGTCGACTTGTGTCGTTTGCTGGAAAGCTCCCAATAATGGTGCATCCCGATGGAGAAAGAATAGCGGAACGGAACAGTTAAGGT